GCTACCACTTGGTTCTAGGGGCTCAGTCTGTTGCGATACTAATACTAGCATACACTAGCATACACTAGCTCACTGTCGCTTAGCAGGGCTTCACCCACTCTGCCAGGCTTTGCCAGATGATGGCACAGGTCGCCAGCGAGCCGGCCCCAAAGCCCGTGTGCAAGAAGGCGCAGGTGCCTTGTGTGTGGAATCGCGGAGATGGCACGCAGTATGCGCAATCAGCATCCGCAAAGAGCCATGAGCCACTAGAGCCCCAAAGAAAACTGAATTATCCTATACCAGTTTGCAGTGTCTCCTTAGTACTAACAATTAGCCAGCACAGCAGGAAAGGGCAGGTTGAAAGAACATAATCGACGATGGTGGGCCCCACACCGAACTTTGTCGGGAGGCGTACAAGGAGACCAACGCGGTGGCAACCAACGAGGTGGACATCTAATCCAGAGGCGCTGGCGAACAGAGAAGGGATATCTTGGAATGCTTCTGCGACCGTGTAAACTTGGAGGGTTGCAGGTTACAAGCGTTATGGTGAAAATGATTGGAGCCTGTATGGTCCTCTTTGAAAATCGCGTCATGTTTTGTCAGGGTGCGCTGATGCGAGGCTTGTATAGGGATATGGAGAAGACTGGGAAAATTACTATTTAGGGCTGAGGGTTTGGGGATTGCCCCAATAGTGGAGAATCGAATCGATAATCAAACGGGACATGAAAGGGAAAATGAAATGGAAGTTACTATATGAAGGGGTATATCGGGATAAGATGGTAGCTTCCATTAATTGGAGGCCCCAATATCGATGCATAAAAGAAACAATCACGGAGACTGCCAAAACAGACCCCTAATGCTTGAAAATCTCCACCTGATAATTCATTGCCTTTCCTGCTACGTAGTATCACCATCACCGTAATTGGCAGTATTGTTCTTGTCGGGCGGGGGTTAGGGTCTATGGATCTGGGTTCAAGGTATGGAAATAAAGGCTTCGTGATTTGGGCTTGGGCATTTACTATGGGCTTTTTCAATGCACAGGCGGATGCCAAAACTCAAGAGTGCAGCCGGCAGCAGTACCTGATCCCAATCCTTGAACGCCTGACGTCCATCCTGCGCCCCCAGCCCTCACCGGAAGCCCTAAACCCTAAACCCGAGGAGGCCCGCTCATTCAAGCGATGACTGAGCCTGAGATGCCTCATGTGTTTTGAAGAGGCGCAGAACATGCCATTGGTGGCAATCTATTTGGCCACATGGGCTTATGTATTGTACATGTTTACTAGGGGTTTAGAGTGTAGCAGCAGCCTTGCTAGGGTTTGAAGCCTCACTCCTTGCTGTTCGGGTCTGGCTGCTAAGCATCCGCCGAACAAAATCTTGCTGCACACACATGCTGCGTAGCCCTGTCACCTCTTGTCCTTTTCAGCATGAGATACACTTTGGTGGTGTCTCCTGCTGGAGAAGTATTCTGCTCTCCTCGTTTGCGGGACCCTTGTGAATACCCTATGACACAGCTAAACTCCAGCTACGCATAAGGACACGTGAGCGACTTTAACATGCAGGCTTCTTCAGCACAGAATGCAACGATGTAAAGTGAGCTGGACGGGAGGGAAATCAATCTATGTGTCCAAGAGAGGATCTCAAGGCGTTTACGCCGCACACAAATGTCCCAACCTCTCTGAGTAGATGGGTGGCGTTGGCCACCGCCGGTCAGTCAGCATTGCGACAGCACTTCACCCAGCGCTGAGGGCAGACCAAAACGGGATACTTCTGTGTGGAGGCTTCCTTGCGACTATCACTCGAATAGTGCAGCCGCATTTGTTTGGCAGCCGACTCTGACCAGACGGTCATAGCATGAATCTTAATGGTATTCGGTATTCAGAACGTACTGATATTCGGACGCGTGTCTTGAAATGTTAGGACAGTCGGGAGATGAACACCTCACCTGTCATCATTAGAAGCGTGCCGGCGATCCCGAGCTGCTGCCATGGCTGGCAAACTGAAGCGACCGCCCCGGGAAGATCCTGAGGTTCACCGGGTTCCAAGGGCTGTAGGCACTCAGGTGGCTGTGAGCCAAACAAGGCCTCCTAAAGACCTTTGAAATCCCTTAGAAGGATTCGCAAAAAGGGGACCCTAATTTTCATGCCCAATCATTTCCAGGCGTTTGCTGCCTGGTGCGAGGGAGCTCTGGCCCTTGAAAAAGCTGCAGAGGAGGAAGAGACGACAGCACCTTGGCACCTCTGAGCCTTTGGGGTCTATGCCACTGCTGGAAATCCTGTGTCCTGGTTGGAAATACTGTATACAGATACATGTGTACATACATGTATATGTATATAGTTTACCTGAAGCCGAGAATGAAGGAAGATATGCAGTATAGAGTTGCAATTTGCATGCTCCCAAAGAAGAACCCTAGCTGAGAAATCAACTCCACCGTTTACTGGTATCCCATTCCTCACCACAGCACACATTCTCATCATGCCATTGATCTCGTGAGCTCTAACTTTTTGGCCCAGTGATTTGAGTCACTACATTTCCTCGAAGTCTGTGCAGTTACAATAGGTAGTTGCACACACATAGGGGGACTTCAATATAGACCCCAACATACCATATTCCTTTTTCATTGGGACCGCTCAAGTGGTGGCCCCGACGGCTCCTGCCAGTACCTATGTGAGTAGAGAATGGCCTCAACGTCAGCAAGGATGTTGTCTCTCAACCAACCCTAAACCTTAAACCCTAAACCCTATACCTTAAACCCTAAACCCTAAACCTCAAACCCTAAACCCTAAACCCCAAATAGTGGTCCAGGAGTTGCTGCTTCAACAAACCCAGCACCGCCGCTGCCACTGCCACCTTTACTGCCACCTGCACCACACCAACAGTATTGCTGCTGCTGCTGCTGTTGCTGCGGCTTCTGCCACTCCTAACTTGAGCTTTACCAGTTGTATAGCAACTGCTATGATGATTTGTCTTTTTCATGTCGCCACAGATTCCATTTAATGTTTTTTTTTTTGCATTTTGCTTCTGCATCCTTCCTACATAGCCTGAAATGGGAAGAATAACCATGATCTAGTGCTTAGGTAATTGGGACTGAATTGGCTGTTTCTAAGGAACTCCTGTTGTCATGTACACAAGCGGAGCTGCAGTCGAGAGGGCTTGCGCTTCTAAAGCTGCGTGTGGCAGAGCAGTCCACGGCACTGCTACTGGATCCTTAATAGTTGGTTTTAGGGTTTGAGGTTCAGGGTTTTAGGGTTTAGGGCTAAGGCTTTAAGCAGGTCTCTGTGACTTGTTGTTGCAGCTTTTTGTGTGTCTTTTGATTTTGTTGGGCATGAGCAGGGGCGTTGACGCATTTCTCTGGTGTCTAGACACCTGACGGGGCCTGATAGGGTTCTATGTGAGTTGAGGGTCCTTGCCAGTTAGATTTTTAAGCAGAGACTTTTTCAGGGTCAGGGTTTGGCTTTGGAAGAGTTACGAAGCTTGGTATTGCAGGGCAACTCCCTAGTCTTGTTTTTGGAGGAGTTAAGGTGTAAGGTCTAGAGTCTTTGTTGAGTTGCAGTGTGTTTTTGTAGCGATGAAGAGGTTGAGAGACTAAGGGTTGCGGTTTGGTGCTAGTTGGTGCTAGGTACCAGCAAGAATTTTAGAATCATCACAGTATGCTTGAGAGTAGGTATAACTTGTAATGATGGCGAAATGTAAGAAGCAAACGTTGTTTTCATGGCAGCAGAAAGAAGGACACGCATATTGTGCCAGGTACGGAAGAGCTTGTGTGACGCTGGAGCGGAGTAGTCCTGGGGATCTGCCGTCGCACAAGATAAGCCACGGCGATATTGTCGGGATCTTCGATCAGGGCAGCCGTCCCCTTTCGAAGGCGGTGCCCTTGGCATCGGCTGTAGCCACGCGGATACGGCCTGGAACCATTCAGCTGGCATTTGATACAGATGTGCCAGTTGAAGTGCTTGACGGGCGCACCTTGAACCTGGCCCTGGTGTCCTCAGATGTCACTTTGAAGCGCTACAAAGAGGCGTTGGATATGCTCAAAGGCGGTGCTCGCAACAGTCCGGCTTCAGCACTCGTAGGGGTCTGCTTCGGCGACTCGAAGCCGCGCTTCTACGAGGCGAAGTCCGAGTCCTGCGCTCGTGCAGATGCCATCGACTGCACCTTCCTGGCCAATGCTACCAACCAGTTGAACGAACCGCAGCAGGCCTAACCTACTTGGCAAAACATGTGAAAGTAACCTGTCATTCCCCCTCTGGAAAACCCCGTCAGGCTGCAGTGGTGAAGGCCTTGCGTGCAGCTGACGCTGCCGTCATCCATGGGCCGCCAGGAACAGGCAAAACCACCACCCTGGTGTCGTACATCCTGGAGGCCGTCTACCGCGATCCGTCTTTATTGGGAAGGATAACAATTGAGTAGTACAAACCAATGCAGTTATCCGGCATCACATACCTTGGGATCAATGGCCAGATTTTGGGAGACTGCCCTTAGAGGCTCACTTCTTGAGAAGAGGGTTGAAAATGCCTGAAGAAGTTGCAAAAGATCTCAGTATGACCTCCTGAAGGAAAGGCTTCGCAAAATCTGCCTCTCCTTGACCATGCCCCAAGTGAGCAATAGTCTAAACTCCTCGTATCCCCCTTAATAAACCTTATAGTAGTCCTCTATATATCCCCTCTAGAGCCCCTTTAAGGAATTTGGACTCTAGCTCAGGTAAGCAGCGCCTATTGGTGACGGCGCCTTCCAATGTGGCGGTGGACATCAGGGCCAAAAGCCAGAAGAAGCCCTGAACTGGGTTTAGGGTCTATCGGGTTAAGGGATCCACGGATTTGTAACCGAATCCGTGAAACCCATGACAGCCCAAATTTCTTAACCTCCCCGCCTATTTTCAGGTTTCCATTTAATTTTTCATCTTGCCCATTCGATTTACCTACCCCTTTGTTACAAAAGGACAACCTCCTGGAGCGCCTTGCGGATGCGGGATGCAGGTCTCTGGTCCGTGCCTGGGATTTAAGCAGCTTCCAAACATGATGGGCCCCCTTGAAGGCTGAATAGGGCTAAATGAAGGCCAATACAGGTTTTGAAAGGGAATTGTAGGAATTGGGGATCAGGGGTGCTTGAAAATTGGGTGTATTTTTTGGGGGAATCTTTAACACCTGGATTTTTAATGGAAAGTCCATTTGGAAGTTGGGGTTGATGGTCAGGGTTTACGGTAAGGGTTAGGATTTCTGGGTTGGGGTTCACTGCTGAGGGCCTCTGGGTTTTGTTTAGGATTTAAGTTCATAGCATTTCTTCAGAAAAGGGGCCTTTAGTTTTCAAGGTTTAGGGTCTAGTCTTGTCTTGTGGGTGGTACACTTGCGGATGTGTAGGGTTTGTCACGGGTTTGTCGGAGGATTAGGATTTTAGTTACAGGGCTGGTTGGTTTGGCAAAGCCCGCGATTGCATTGTTGGGGTTTCTGGGCTGTAGATGGACATAGGGACCGTCTGGGACTCTGGCTACGCGTGCCGTTTTTTGGTATCATTTGCGATGATTTTTTTGCGGATCCTGTTGGTTGGAATGGGGATTACGAGGACCTTATGACACATGCCCAGTGGGATGATTTTGCAGCTGTGAAGATGTAGTCCAGCCTGGTAGAGCATTCTCCAGACCCCCTGGAGGATCCAAAAGTGGGATCCCGCTATAAACTCTCACAATCGCACGTATAGAATCCCTGTACAATTCACCACATTACATTCTTGAGGATCCTTTTGTCTTGTCTCTTTGATAGTCTTGACCAGCACGAGGGCGGGCCCTGAGGACAGGCTCGAGCATGTTTTGGGTGACATGTTTCAGAGCACTTTGGCCCCTCTGAGCCCTTTGGAACGGGGCTGCTCTTCCTTGGGGTGGCGGGACCCTGGAGGGCGGCACTAACACGGGTGCTCTCCCATTGACGAGCACCCTCCCCCGTGCAGCCTTTGTTCCGCCCGGGGCGACAGTGCCGCTTCTTCTTCCTGTCCTCCTGCTCCTGCTCCCCTCCTCCTCCACCTCTTCCTCGTCTGCTATTCTTCTCCTCATTGGGCACTATGAGCTTGCCCGTGTCTGCCCTGCCATTTCTCTACTCTCCCCGCTGGGCCGTATTTGGCCCGCTGAGCTGGTGCCTTTCCTTTTCCTGTTCTTCCCCTGCTTTGAGGCGATGGATTTCCTGGCGGTCGGATACCTCCCCTGCAAGCCATTGGGCAGGTAGCTCCCTGCCCCAGGGCGATGCGCTACGTGCTTTGGCCTTGATGGCTTTGCTGAGGCGCTTTCCCAACCATCCGGGCCACCTTTTGCCTTGCTGATAGCAATCTGGTGGAGGCTGTTGATCACTTGAGCCTTTGGTCCAACAGGCTGGGATTACAGGAGACCCAGAGCAAAATTCTGGGCAGCATTTGGCGAAAACCCAGCACTTGAACTTCTTTTGGTTCCCTGGCTCCTTAAGTATATAGTATAAAGTCCTTACATAATCCAATTTGCCCATATAGACATGTATAGACTATTTTGTCCTTCGAGCCCATAAGAACACCCCCCATCTTGAGAACTCTCCAGGATGAACCGTACATCATACTGTCTGTTCCATGCCAGCGCGAGTAACCCAGGTCTTGGACACCCTGCAAGGGTGCAGGACGCGGTTGGGTTCTGAGGGGAGTCTTTCATTGAGACTTGGTTAAGTCTTTTGGACCATGTCTTGGCCAAAAAGCACGGGTTGGCCGGCTGGCCGCATTATTTGTGGCATGGCTGTGGCCCTACAAGGTCCAATAGGGGCTGACAGGCTTACCAGGGATCCCTAGCAAGCTAGACAACATTGACAAGGAGATGGCTCAGGCGAGAAGTTTTCAGTTGAGTGTGCAATCCCCCAGTGCGAATTGCATGGTACCCCTTGTGGCGAAAGACCCCGTGACCCCGGCTCTGGCAGAGACTTACCAAGCATCCTGCAGTCTCACTGTTGCTTGAGTGAGGATATTTGAACTATCAAAGGGCTTCTATTGGGATTGTGGTACAGGGATCCTCTAGCTACCCCGTGTAAGCATCGACAAGTTTTGGCAGCAGCAGGAGAACATCCAGCATTTCACCATGGACAACGTCGTCTACGCCTCAGACCAAGCGGAGTTGTGCCGGGACATCAAGAAGGATCCGGCGCAGGGGTGCTTCAACATGGTGGAATTGATTTCTTAAAGGCCCCATGCTAACTGCTAGAGTTTTACCTATAACCCACTCCCAATTCCACACGAACCTGGGGTCCTCGTGTGGGTTCTTAACATGTACGCTGTATTGCCTATCTTCTCTGCTTCCCTGCTTTCTTAACATGTACGCTGTATTGCCTATTTTAATGCCTATCTGCTTGAAGAGGGCAATCAGCCTAAATGGCTGCAAGGCTCATGATGTAGGATTTGGACTCAGGGGTTCAAGCTTCGTCCCGGTTGAGTTTAGGCTTCAGTTCATACAGTTGAGCGTTTCAGCCGTGCCGTTCATCCGTCAAAGCTTCTAGAGCCCCGCATCCGGTTATTGTTGTTACTCGTAGTTAATCCCAATATTAACCCCAAAATAACTTCAATATTACCTCTACATAATATAGAATACAAGTTTCCATTTTCTTTTCCATTATCCCAATATTAACCCCAAAATAACCTCTGTATTATCCCGTTGCCTGGTGGAGGAGATCGACCAGATCCTGGGTAAGGCCAAGGGCAAGAAGCCCCAGGCTGCCGGGAAGGCCTCCGGCAACTTGAAGGAGACGTGGGACTCAGGATCAAGGTATGGAGTGTAGGGTTTAGGGTTTAGGATTAAAGAGGGAACCCAAGCTTGAGATTCAAAAGCATGACATCATCCCAGTTTTTCCATGACTTGCTATCCATTTGATTCTTCATCATCCGTTTTGAAGCATAGTGTGTGGTGTATCCCTTAAGTACGATTCGCCTTCGAAATGGCCATGCTTGTCCCATCTATAGGGATTATATTGTACTTATAGAAAGGTTACATGGGGTCTACGGGTAGCGCCCCAATGAGGGAGAATCACGGCAGCTAAAGCCACAGATGGGTATAGCTGAGATTTGGAATTTCCTTGAGTACTGGGACCTGGTAGTTGAATTGGGAACAGGTGATATGCCTACCTAGCCCCCCAACCCTTAACCGTAAACCCTTAAACCCTAAACTTCCATTTCATTTCCATTTGACTCTCC